CAATATTTCGCAACTTTTTGCGCAATATTATGTCCAGACCGTAATTATTGTGCAATATTTCGGGCCGTAATAACTTATATAAAATTACATTAATATATTTCGCTGATGTATACATAGCCTATACTTTGTATCTCTTTAGCTGTTTGGAGGTAGACTGTTATAGACCGATATTGGTATATTACAGATTGTGCTTTTGTATTTGTTTCACTCCTCTAATTCTTTGATATTGAATTTCCTAAGTGTTGTTTGGTAGGTTTTACTTTAATCTAAATGTATCGACCAATTTTTTTTTAAAAAGTTTTCTTACTTTTTTGTACTTGATGTGATTTTAATAAACGCTACTTTGGTCATGAAGTTGTATTGCCATGCCAAAATTGTCACTACCTCGAAATACCTAAAGAATCTCTTAATTCTTTCACCACTCATGTCTCTTGGGAGATCCCATAACATGAAGAAATATAGCAATTCATGTGAATACTTTTCTGATATATATTTACCTCCTGGAGCCCATATTGAGTTATAGATATCTTCTTGTTTTTTGGGCTTCTTTTTGTTGCTCTCCAACTTTGTATTACTGCTTGTGTTCTTGGTTAAAACCTCTTCGAAACCATAATCTATTATACCAACTTTATTTTATATAAGTGTATCAATTCTTGACTTTTGATTGTTCTCGGCTGAGTTACTATTATTTTCTTGCTCTGCCAGATTTCTTTTACAGGAGGTACCATTGTTACTGCAGGTTGAGTTATTGCTGTAATCTATGAATATAACAACTGGTTTTATATAGTTAACTTCCATATCTATAAACTGTGACACAAGTCTATTGTTCTTTTCTTGTATTAACTTTATACTACTATCGTACCCAAGTAGAATTTCTTCTTTATCAGATATTGTGTTTTGTTTAGACTCCTTGCTTTGAGCCCAACTATACTTTTCAACAACCTCTCGTATAATTGCTATAAGGTATACATCTTTTGTACCGAGCTACATGATTGTCCTGTTTAAATATGAGTAGGTTTTGTTCTTTATATAAGGCAAGTTTTTTATCTTTCGTTTGATTAAATAAATTTCTATACTTCTGGAGTGCCGGCATTGCTTTTATCACGTGATTTGTATATCAAAATAGTATCTAATATGGCTTTGTAGATTTAACTTGAGACTTAATTCTGACACATGTTTTATGTATTTTTATATAACTTTTATGTGTTTTTATGTGACATGATGCTTGTAGAGCTTGTGTACTACTATATAATCTTGCACAATAATCTTTTATTGCACAAATAATCTATACTACAGAGTTACTGCTGTTTTTTCCAAAAGTGAAAAAGCAAGTGATTTTTCTAAAAACTAAAATACTTTTGCACTTTAGTACTTTAACGTTAAAAAATATTGTACTTAATGTTTTGTCTAAACTTTCTTTTTTTCTCAAGATGACTTTAACAAACTTTATTTGGTTTTGTTATATTTTGATTCTGTAATCATTCTAGCTGTGTTTTTGGCTTTTTATCTCTTCCTCCTTGTGTATCAACTAAATAATACAAAACTACTTTGTGTCTATGTCTTCTTTCTTGTCTAGTTGTATTTAGTATCATTGTTTTGTCTTGTATATTGGTAAATTGATGCCTTTTCTTCTTACTAATTTTTGTGCCAAGTGATCGTTGGGAAGAGTTGTTTTTTTTTTGAATTTTTTAATTGAGTCTTTATTTAGTTTTGTTTCTTTACAATTGCTTATATGAATTACTCAATAAAGATATAAGCAAGGCCTTACTTTTTAATATTAAACAAAAAAACAAAAAATATATTAGTATATTATGTTAATGAATCTTTTTATTAATAGATTTGATCTATATATAATGAATAGATATCACAAGAAATAAAAGAATTAACTAAATCTGGTTGAATTAAATGTTCTATATAATATAATTGCAAAATAAATTAAGCATATATGGAATTTTGTTGATACTCAGCTAATTAAAAATTCCTTTAAATATTGTGGCATCTTAGTTACAAACTGATGAATCAGAAGATAATTTAATTTTTAATTATGAATGTGTTGAAAATAACAATAAAATCGATAACAATAATAAAGTTAACAAATATGTTTTTAATAGTAAAAACTTGGTTTTACAACTTTAATAAAACTTTCTATTCTAACAATACTTTTATTTTAATAAGAACTTGAACTACAACAAAACCTTTTGTCTCAACAAAACTTTTTGTCTCAACAAAGCCTTCCACTTCAACAAGATCTTCAAAAAAACTTCTTACACTAACAGAGTTTTCAAAACCTTCTATCTCAACTATATCTCTTATCCTAAGAACACTTTATTCTGCAAAATCTCTTGTACCAACAATACTTTTCACTTCAACAAGATTTCTTATCAAATTAATACTTTTTACCTCAACAAAATTTTCTACTTTAGCAAAGCTTCTCATCTCAACTACTACAAGGTTTCTTGGCTTATCAAAACTTTCTAAATCAGAAAGAATTTGATTATTATTATGATTAGAATGAGGTAGATAATTTTATAAATCAATAGATTTAATAATTTGTAATTACACAAATTTAAAAGTTTAAATAAACTTATTACCTAACCTTTTATATTATAATGATATAGAGATGTGAAATGGCTTGGCTAAGCTATAAGCTTATTGGCTAAGCCAATTATTTTACTATTTAGCTAACTAATAGCTTATCTAACTAGCAGTTTAGCTTTGTATAATATAGGCTGATTTAGAGCTATAAGCTAATCAAAATACTAATAATATGAAATATTATAGACTATTATACTATTAAATTTTTAGTAATGCTTTATATTAAAATTAATTGATGATCCACCAGTCACCTGAAGAATAATCATAGTAAAATGTGACTCAAATTACTATATAAATTTATTATAGTGCAAATATGGCGATCACCCAAGGTAAACTTAGTATAAAAAAAGTTTACCTTGGGTGATCGCCATATTTGCACTATAATAAATTTATATAGTAATTTGAGTCACATTTTACTATGATCATTCTTCAGGTAACTGGTGGATTATTAATTAAACTATTAATATATAGTAATATTTTTACAATTTTCCTAATCTGTATGCAATATTATATTAATTAATTAATAAATAAAAGAGAATTTTTTTATTTTTTATTTTTAAGATAATTTTTTAAATAGATCTTTCAAATTCTTAAGAAAATACTTCTGATAACAATATAAATTCTATTAGTGCAAGTGCTACTTCTATATTTGTAGTTAAAAGATAAAAAAAAAAATATTAATAGTTAGATTATATTTTATTAAAAAACAGATGATGATGAAACAGTTATTTGTATTATTTGTAAAGATTTATTTAGAAAAAAAACATTTACAGGAACTTTATATAAACATCTTGATATACAGCACTAGGGATAGTATCAGTTTGAGCTGGCTCATGTAATATGTGACAAATTTGAATTTGTTATGTGATAAAGGTGATAAATCAAATTTATTATATGACAAATTCGAATTAACATAATAAAATCAAATTTATCATGTGATAAATTTGATTTTATTATATCAGCTCGAGCTGGCTTGACGGCTCAGCTCAAAAGCAATGGCTAAACTAGCTTATTATAAGCCAATGCTATTCCTATATAGTACTCAAATTGGAATTCAAATAAACAAATACAAAATTATTCAATTTCAGTACAAGCTTTGATATCTAATCAAAAGAAATGTTTTAATATTTTAGTAGCTGAGTAGATTGTTTCTGATTCTTTGACTTTTTAGCTATTAGTAGTAAAGCATTAATTGCTTTGCTACAATATGTATTGAATTATCTTTAAGTAATACTATAAATTACACTAGTCGGAATATAGAAAATTGGATATAAATCCGATAACAATCGAGGTATCTGATTTAAAACCGATAGATACCCGATTGATATCAAATCTTAAATTTAATCAAATTAGAAATCCCGATTTATGCCAATTTATGGCGCAAATCAGCATACAATAAGAAAAAAATTTACATAAATCAGATATCAATCAGAATATCTGGAAAATATATACAGTTGACTCTCTCAAAACCAATCCTGTCAAAGCCGATAACCTGTTTATATAGACTACACATAAAATCATACATTTATTTACATTAATTTAAAGAAAAACAAGGTATTTGAAGAGAGCCCTAATTTCCCCCACCAGTTGTAATTGGTCGCATGAAATACCATCTTCAATTGGGTAAACTAAATCACGCCACCGCAGCCGCAAAATAAAAAAATATTCAAATAATTATTAAGCGAAAATTTATGCACTTTAAAATTTTAGTAAAAAAAAAAAAAAAATCGAAATAATCTAAACAACCTAAACATTAACAAAAATAAGTGCTTCTGACACAAACAAGAAATTTTATAAGTCTTTTGTTCAGTACTTTATTCTCAAGAGAATAAAATT